ATTTATTGACTTCTGTGTCTAAGTCAACATAATGAGGATGGTCCTCATGGGTGCAAAGTGATTGAAAGGAGTAATTTTGGTATCATTTTCTGCTTCCTGCTGTTTTCTTCTTTTGCATAGCTGGCAAGGACAAAACAAAGGATTTTTCTTGTATATGTGTTCTGATGGGAGAATTTGAACTTAATACCCAGAAGGTGTGTGTCGCTAAAGCCAGTTGTTATTCATTTGCATCTGTTAACATGTCAGGAAAAAGTGATCTGCTTTGTTCTGGGCAGTTATGAAAGCAGGGGTCATGGGGTGTACTTGCAGGGTGTACTTTCATTCTTGTGAGGCGTGGGGTTATTTTGTTGTTGGAGGACAAGGCTCAGCTTAGGCAACTTTTGGCATTCTGACTTTAGTTAAGCCTGCCATATTGCTGTGAAAACTTCTCTACATAGTCTGTTTCAAACACCAGTGTGATCTGCTCTCTCGTTTTCCATGCAGGCAGATCCTTTTAACTAGCACAAAAGAATTAAAAATCCAAAGTTTTCTAGTTCTAAGAAAAAGATTGCCGTGCAGGAGTTGATGACTAAGTGATAACAACTTATCTGCAAATTGTTATGTACTGCTCCACCTGGTCACATACAATGGAGAGGGAGACCTAGGAGGAGGAAGCAGCTGTTAACTTTCCATAGACTGTTGTGACTTTTAGCTTTTTTTTTGGTTTTTATTTCTGTTTTTCCAAGTGCTAAAAAAAATCTAGGACATGGCAAATACATGGGAGCCTGAAGCTTCTCCTTGGCTCTGGATTTTTAAAGGTTATGAACAATTTGCTCACCAGACATTTCTGCTGCCCACCTCCTAATTCTGCAGTTTTTTCATGGTTGAGATTGAGATACAATATTGACATTGGAAAAACATCTTGGATCAGTCTGTGAATGAGAGATTCCCTGTACACCTGTGAGCCTGAGGACACTATTTCCAGTAAGAGGTGGTGGTGGAGGGGGCCACCAGTTTGACTGTGGTGAGCTGAATGCCAGAGCAGTCAGGTGTGCATCTGCAGCAGGTTGGAGGCACCCCCTCCTGCTGCTCTTCTTGAACTGCCCCTGGACCCCAGCTGCCTAGAAATGAATCTCTTCTGTCAGGTGTGTTCCCTTCATCACTAGTGTGTGGTGCCCTCCCACCCTGTCTCTGTATTTCCTTTTCCTGTTAAGATTTTTGAAGAATTGGAGTTGATAGCTAGAGTGCCTATGTGCAAGGATATCAGACTTGCAAAACACAAGGATTTATTATGTTCAAACAACCTAAACAGCTCTGAACTGAAACAGTCTGCCAGCAGTTCAGGTTGCTATTTACTGTTAGCATATTCTGCATCTTGATTCCTAATGTTGCTAATTCTTTAATGTATTCTTAATGAAGCACTTAGTTTGGTTTGTTTTCTTCACCTTTCTCTACTGAATATTTAGCTGCCAAGGGAAAATACATCAGTTGCAGAATCATATGTGAGTGTTTTGATGTGTTTTATTGTTTTGGTTATGCTATATTCTCACTTGCTAGAATAAATTATTGAAAATCAGGGTAAGAAAAATTAGAAGTTGGAAATGGGGTGGATATTTTCAAATGAGAGTTCATCTGTTCCCATAGCTTACTGAAATTTTGTTGGTTGTAGGGCTTAATCCAAAATATTTTTAGAGATAGTCTGGCTCAATAGCAGATGATTCCAACACTGAGCTCAAGTGTCAGGGTGGAACTAGCTGGTGTTGTGCATGGGGCCAGACTTGATGCTTACAGCAACTCTGGACTTTGCTCTCGTGTTCACAGATTTGTCAATTACTGCTTAGCTGTGCAAATTCAGGGGAACATCTGCAACTGCTGCAAGTCTTCAGACGTGCTGGGATTAGAAAACGTTCGGGCTAAACTGGGCATTAACTCTCCTGAAAAAGACATATATTTCAAATCCTATACATAGTAGGTTTTGTTCCTGCTCTCTAAAGTTGGAACTCTGGGCATTTTTCATTACTTCTGGCAAATAATTATCAAATGCCTAAATCAGTATTTTGTATTTGGTATCCCGAGTTTGTTTCTTTTGTTCCTGAATAACAAAAAAAAGGTAATGACTACTTGAATAAACATTTGGATGTAGATTCAAAGGTGTTCTGTTGTTTTAATCACCATTGTCCGATTTGCTTATCAATGCTTGATAAGAGCATATCTGAACTTGGAGTGAGGTGGTGACAAGTGGATTTGGGTGAGACATCCTGAGATCACTGAAATTTCCTGATGCCTTCAAGCAACCACTTAAGGCCTCAAACATGTTATAAGGGAATCTCCAACTTAGGAGGATTAATTAGCCCTCCAAGGCAAATCTTGTGTGGTAGAACTAAAAGGATACCTGGTGAAAGAGCATATTGTTGTTTTAATTTCCTAAAGTTAATAGCATAATAGGGAGAGCTTAATCAAGCTTGTGCCTTGGTTCTTAGCAAAGAACTGTGGCTGAGTGATGAGCTGTATGAGAGGGGTTGATCTGTTCATGGAGCAGAAAAATATCAGTGATGATTTGTCCTGCAGTGTCTGCCAAGATGCACCTAGCAGGATTCCTTAAAGCTGTTGAAAACAGGCTGAATGTGTTATGAGTACTTCCGTTTTTCAGTCTCTTTGCCATTTGCTGTCTTGCAGAAGCTGCAGAAGTGGTTTGGGGGTTGGTTGGACACTGGTTCAGTTTGGGTCTCATGTCATTTTACTCTTGGCCCTTGGAGGGTATGGCATGCATTACTAAACAGGGTTTTTAATGTTTTTGTGGTGGTGGCTTAAGGGGTAAATGGTGGAAGTAGGTATTTGTTTTGAAAAAGGTGGAGAAGGTAAAGGGAATTGGGCAAGGAAGCAAATGCTACTGAGAAAGTGGGGACTACATGTCTGAAGTGACAGAAATTCTTCGTGAATGTACTGGCATTGGAGCAGCTGCTCTTACCTTCTCCAAAAACGGCTGATGCCTGCCAGAAGCTGCAAGTTCAAAGTGAGCCTTGCAAAGTTCCCTTGCCAGTGCAAGGCAGAGATTAGAACCTGTTTAAGAACTGTGGCTCATAGTTATGACCCTATTTATCTATTCTTTTGATGTCTGAAAAACATGTTGGTTTGATTACTGGCCCACTTATTACTGCTGTAACCATGGTTACTGGACAGACAACCTGTGTACTCTGAGCCTTCTTGCCTGTGCCATGGCAGAACCTGACACTGGATAGGAAGTCTAAAATCTTACTGGTACAGACAATGTGTATTTTTACAGAAAGGTAGGGGAAGGAAGAAGTTTCATGATGATAGTGGACTGTGGTGTTTCATCAGTGGTGCTCCTGACTAAGAAGGAACCAGCAGTTAATTCACCGTGGTCTAGCAGAGTTTAATTTTGTTTGTTCTATTTGGCTTTAGTTTGCAAAATGGAGTTGAGTGAGATTTAGAAGGTGAAAAATAAATCTATCTCAGAACATGCATTGAGATCACATACAATGAGCAGTAAGCAAAGCCTTCCGACTTCTATTAAATATCCTTGGCTACTGGGGAATTGGTGTGCTCTTGATTTTGCTTGAAGGAAAGTAAATATCAGTCACTTTAGTCCTTCTGGTTGAAGCATTCAGGGGTAATTCAAGTCTGGGGTTTATGGATGGGCAAACATAAGTTTCAAGCAATCAGATTTTTCGCTTAGTCTGCTGTGGAGTTGGGTAGAGATGATTGAGGAACCTTGATTTATTTGGTATGGATCTTTTTTTGAGTTCTTTGTAGCTTGTACAACTCCATTTTATCCTGGAAACTATTGCTGATTATGTCTGCTGGCTACCTTTACTGGCTTCCAATGTATATGCATTTTGGGAGCAGGGGTAAAACAAAATGAGTACCTTGGGAATAACTCTTGAAGAAAGTCACAATGGGGAGGATTGTGTCTGTGCTGAAGCATTTGGTTGTAAACTGTCTCCATACTAAGTCGGTGTCAGGTGGTTTCTCTGGTAGAGATACTAAATCCTGGTTACATTGTTGCCATACTGCGTGACCATAGTGACTTAGTTCTGTGTTTTGTGAAGTGGAAGTGATGCTACTTGCTTTCCAGGGACAGCCTGTAGATTGATGTTTTGTTAGGTCTCCTCACTGACACTGGTGTGATGAGTCTTTCCAATTGTGTTCCTGTTCTGCTAAGTGCAATTTTAGGAGCATCCTCCCCTAATTCACCTTGTCAACTCCAAAATAAATGGGCAAAGCTTGCAACTTGTTTTTGGGACACTTGTTTGAAGAAACTAAAATTGTTCATTAAAGCTATGTTGTGGGTAAGACAACCCCCACAAAACTGTACAGCAAACTTGAGACTTCTAAACTTAGCATATTCTGACTGAAGAAATATCTTTATGGACAGATTATCAGCTTGCTTTTGAAGCTAGTTGTACCAGCGTAATGTCAGTTATTTCCAATGAGTTTTTGTGTGCTCTTCTGAGAGTTCTTTTCCATAATATCATGAAGATTTCAACTGGGGACTTGCTCTGGCCTGGATGTTAGAAAAAAGGGTGTTTGTGTAGGGGTAGGGTGAATAGGTTAGTCTTCAATGCCTTTGTAGTTATCCAGTATTACAGCTTAACTTTTTTTGAGGTTTCTTGTCAGTGCTGTGGGGTTTTTTGGGATTGCTGTTTGTGTGTTAAGCGATTTTAAAAGTAATTATATGATTAAAGACTTGTGTGGAGTGTGGTATAGAATATGATCAATAGTAGCTGGAATAAAACTACTCTGATTGAATCCATCGTAGATAACTATTTTTGCTCAGGTGTGAAAACCGATTTAAAGTTGTTTGGATACCCATGCACTGAGAAATATCTCTAGGTAGATGAGGATGGACAGAAGACAAGATACATGAAAGAGTGTTCAAATGGTACTTACAGAAAAATTAATCCAGGCTTCCAGGAAAAAATTTCCAGCCTCTAAAAAAAGGCAGAAGTAACTTGAGTGGAAAATCCTCACTGATTATTTTTTCTCTCTTAATCTTGCAGCTGATTGTAATGCCGTTCTTAAAGCTCTACAGCCCATTTTTCAGGAGCAGGGAATGACAGAAACAGTTCATAACTGGGAAGACCATGGTTATTTAGTAACCTACATCAAAAAAAATGGCAGGTGAGTGGATTTTCTTTTGATTATGTCCCTGGTGTCCTTCCTTAAAGTATTTATTTCTCCCTCTCTTGGACCTCCTGTAGTGTTGATGGGGCACGCTATCCTTTTATCAGCTTTGTGTATGAAGTAGTTGTGATAAAGCAGAATATTATTTCTAATCTGGACTATGTCATCTTGCAGTTTGGATATCAGGAGGTTGAACTGTTCAGTCTGGTCTGTACCATAGAATGATGCCTTGGTCCCAGCACTAGTCCTTCCATATGAAGGAAACTCAAGTCAGTTCAGTATATTTGTAATTTTCTGACCATTAAATATGTCTAAACGTGTTGGAGTCTAACCTTAGCATGTGAGCAATGACAACTTTGTGTCTGTCTCCATTTACATGCTGTTGTATGCTTCAAATTCTCAAGCAGCTTCAGAGGTAATTAACAGCATGATAAGGGTGGTTGGTGTCATTAGTGACACAAAAGCTGAGTCTGCTGGGACAAACTGATAAACAAAACTACATTCACTTTATTTCCAGATGCTGCTTCCACAGTTGATTATGGTATACATTAATCTGGTCTATTTATAAGTAACTACCATGGTTTTATTGCACTAAATTTCTTTATTGTTATTCAGTTACCTGTTCTTAACATAATTGTGGCAGTTGCTGCTTTCGGGTTGCCTGTTTTCTCTTTTTTGCTGGATGGATTTGTTTTGTTTGGTGGTTTGTTTCTGTTTGTTTGTTTAATTGGGATTTTTTGTGGGGGGTTTTTGGGACCCAAAATAAGGTAACAGGTAAGTGGATATGAGTAGTTCTATGTTTATCATTCTCAGTTGTGCTCTATGAAGTTTTAGTTATATTTCAGTTAGCTTTTCAAATGTGGCACTGGCTTTTCCTGCTCAAAATTACTTGGTTTTTTATACTTGATGTGCCTAGAAAAACCTGTTAGTTGTATCTTGCTTTTGTACAGCCTTGTTTATTTTGTCTTTATTTGCATGTGCTTTCATATTCTTCCTGAATAATTTGATCAACATTGCAGTTCTGGTAGCCTTTGTCTCTGAGTTGGTAAAAAGATAGCAAAGTTGGTAATTTTCTACTCTGGTTCTATCCTTCCTCTCTATTGAGTTAAGTTTTCATGTAATTCTCCTAAAAATATAATATCAAGGTTCTACCAACTCAAAAGAATTAAAAGATAATACCTAAAAATAAAAAGAAGTTAGGAGACTACAAGATTGAGTATATTTGATTACATGGCCTCATGTTGCTTTCCTGCATTTCCTTGAGTATTAGAGGGATATGAGGTGTGAATTCTCAAACTGGGTTTTCTCTTTGCAAATTCATCTGATTATTCCTCCTAAGATGATAGCCTCTTCTAAAGGAGCAGGTTCAGAGTTAAATTGCCTGCCTTTTGATGTATTCCAGGAACTCCCTAGATAAGAGTTTTGTTGGATAACTTTTCCAGGAGATAAGTGAACGGGCACCTGGAAGCAACTCTGAGGAAGATTTTTATAAGAACCTAAGTTTTAAAATATCTGACTCGATTGCTCTTATTATACTGTCAGCTGAACATGTGCTTAGGGGAACTTTCTGTGAGTTTTGGGACCTCAGCAGTTTTGTTTCCTGTGGTTATACAATAAGCCTCAACATTTTTTTTAAGGTAGCCCTAAACAGTATATTTCTGCTAGTGTAGTTTGTATTTGTTTGATGTAGTTTCAGTTAACTTAAACAAATGAGGTTGTAAACTCATAAAACTCAACAGACTGGACAGTTAAAAATCCTTGCAAAACAAACACGTTTCACAAATTGTAAGAATGAGCTGATGAGCTCATATGGATTTCAACTGACTAAATAATTGAAACAGAACTTTCTAGTTCTGTTTCAATACCAGCAAGTTTGTCTGCACTTTATCTTAGTGCCTTAAAATATCATATGTTTTAGTTAGCATAAAAATATTACCTGACACAACTAGAAAGAAAGTAGCAAGGCTAAAAGTAGCCTGCTAAAAGCAGGCTTTTCCTCTTGGTTCCTTGCAAAACAGTGAGTGTGCTTCATTTCCAGCAGCAGCTTGTAGTAAAACTTGGAAAAAAGAATTGTGATGTAGGTATGTCATGAACAGCTCTTGCAAGGATGACTGGCTACAACTTGTTACAAATTCCCTAGAAGGGGAAATGGAGTGGGTGCTGTGAGCAAGGGTTTTGTGAACATGTGCACACAAACATGTTTTTAGCCAGCCAAAGGTGACTGAGCCATTGCAAGACAGATGTGCAGTTGATGTAACAAGCTGGGTACTAATCCCTGAGAAAAATATTTGAGATGAGCTAGTAATATGTTGCTGAACTGTGTCTGTACTCCAGAGTTTGCTGAGATAACCCCACAGCCTGCAGGGTGCCCCGTGCTGCAATCTGTGGAATTGTGGGCCCTGCTGTTGACACAACTGTTTCTGACAAAGCCACCAAGTGAACAGCTCCATGGAGGGCTGCACTGGTGGAACAAATTGGAGCTGATTTGGGGATTAAGACCTGGTTTCCTGTTGTCATTACCAAAGCAACAGATCCCTGTTCTCTTTTGTCCAAAGCTAAGCAAGCAAAAGTCATATGTGGCAATTCTACCTGGTCCATTTACTTTGTGATTTGTTCTGACAAAAAACCTAATTGAGGGAGGTTCAACTGAAGATATTTACTAATGAGGTTGTCAACACAAGGCTCTGGAGTGGGGCTGGGAATGGCTCACTTGAGCCACTCAAGTTTTTCTCTGAAGTGGTGGGGATGGATGCATTCCTCTCTGCTTTGCCAGCCCCCTTGTCCAAGCACTGCTTGGGGAGCAGTGGCATGTGCCAGAGTGGAGCCCCGTCTCTTGGGTTTTGAGTCTCAAGCAATCTTGTTTTTCTGATCTCTGTGTTTTTAGATTCCTTCTAGAGTGGTTTGTAAGGTCACATTAAGCAGCATGCTTTTACTGAAATGTCACTATCTTGGACTAAACAGTTAAAAGTTAGGTTTAAAACATGTGAAGTTTTTATCTTACCTAATGTATATGAGACGTTATAGAGTCATTCTGCCCAGTATATTTCAACAGATTGAGAAGTGTTGTTACATCTAAGTTAAGGAGAAAAATCAGTGAAGCTAATCTTTAGAAATTGCTATCTTCTCAGCTAGTACTTTGTTTTAATCTCATTACTGCTTGTGAGCAAGTAGCCTTTTATTATACTGCATAGAGCTATGAAAGGTTTTTTTCTTGTAAGTTTGTGCTCTTTCTTTTGTCGTGTTCCACCTTGAAGTTCTTCAAAAATCCCCAAAACCTGAAACTTGAGTCATGGTTTCTACAGTAGAAGAGTGTCTTTTAGAAAAGTTTTGACCTCCCCTATACCACACATCCATTTTTAACTTTGGTGTCTGAATTCTTGTTTAGAGAAGTATAATCCTACTGCATTTGACTCCACTGTTCACAGCAGTGCAAGCTTTACCCAGTTGAATTTGGTTTGTATGTCACAGGGATGCTGATGAATATGTTAACACTGTGAAGGGAGAGGGGAGTATGTTTACTTTTTTCTTTTCTTTGTTAGTCTTTTGCTAACCACTCTGTATGCTAGACAGCATATTTTAAAGGAGCAGGGTGAACATTCCTCAGCTCTTTGTTTCGGGCTAAAATGTTGTAGTTGCCTATGGAGTGACCCAGAGTATAAAAATGGGCTGAAGAATAGGAAGCAGTTGGTAGGAATCAGCAACAGCTACCATGCAACAGTTTTTCTTGGTTTAATTTTCATATTCTGTAAAAACAGAACTGGACTAATGGTATAATGAAGAAATGTGATTGCCTAGCTCCTTAAGGTCCCTCAAGTACTTTGTAATTAAGGTGAAGAACTTTAAAAAAGAGTATGTTTTAGTTAAACAATGTCATGCCATTCTCAAAATTTCATGTTTTCCTAGTATAAGCACATTTTTATTTCCTCTCTCATTGAGTAGTTTGACAGGTGATGCTTTTAGTGCCAAGCTGTTTTTTAAATACTTGAACTATTTTCTTTTATAGTGATTCAAAATTAGTCAGCAGATAAAAGCTTTGATGGGTAAAGAGGAATTTGTAGGTACCTGTCTTTCTATCCAGCTTTATTTTCTGGGTGTGGTGGTTTGGGAAATCCTTCCTTGGGTATGTGGGATTGTAATGTTTCATTGTACTCTGCAGTACAAGTCACTAAGGTAGCATGATACATTTTGGGTTAGAATATTTCAATCTTTGCTTCCTAATTCTGTTTCCAGCAATTACTTTTTGATTTGTGCAGTTTGGAATTATTTGTTGACATCTGATGTTTTCTGATGTTCAAGTGCTAAGATGCAGCACTCAATAGAATTGTGTCTATAGCTGACACTTGTGCATACAAGCACAAAAAGCTTGAGCACTGCCTTGGAAGGATGTGACAGATATGCAGGTGCAGCAGCCAGTGGAGTGTTCTTACAGTGGGGGCTGCTTGTCAGGTGCAGATTTCCTTGTCAGATGGAAAGGAAGAGGTTACTCCTCACTGAGCTTTTTTTTTTCCCTTGCTACTTTTATGAAATTACATGCAAGCACACAACAAAAGTCTGGCAGGTGACTTTTTTTTTTTTTAAATAGGTATTATATTTTTCAGAAAGATGAAACAGGAGTGGCTAATTTTGAAGCAAGCTTTATTTTTCCCCTCACTTGGATTCTAAAGTAATCTTTCTTTTATATTCATAGATAGAAAATGGAAACTATTCTCATTGTTTTAAAGAACCCTCTTCCAGATATTAAAAGAGCAGCTGCTGATAAAAAACTGCATTCATATATGTTCTGCCAAGCAGAAAAATGTGAAGTGACAAAAGCCGGCGTAGCCTTTGCTGTCTGATGACTGAAGCTAGTAACTTCTTGTGAGTTCAGCTTTGGCCTACCTCTACTGCCTTAATACTACTTAATACTGGACTGTTCACATTTTTGAGTACTCTTGTACTGTTGGCTGTGTGCTTGAATCTTTAAAGGCATTTTAGCTTATTTTCGATGTGTGTTTTCATCCGGATAACTTACAGCCAAGGTATAACTGACCTGGACCTGTATTATTGTTGAGAATTTTGAATTTCATTCAAGTTTTTTTTTTACCATAAACTAGCTGAGAATATCAGCCGGAAACTTGCAACCTGTTGGAACTTGAAATTCAGTCCCATTACACAGCCTGCTGCCTGCCTTTCATCTCTTCCTCCTTGCCCCAGGTGTCAGGACCCTTCTATTCTGCTAGAGGTGACAATTGGATCAAATGGATTGCATTTATTCAGTCCTGCAGGCTGTTGTCTCTGTCTTCTAATGCTGTCATAGCACATAACAAATCTGAAGCTGTGTGGCTGTACTTTCAGAGCAGCTCTCCTCTCTGTCGCTCTTGCCTCCCACCTCAGAGCAGGGGCAGGAGCATCCCCTGCTGAGGCTCTCATGGGGTCACAGGGGAAGTGAAGATGTCAGCTGTCAAATCTTATGACAGCTGTGTGATTCTTGTAGGAAGTTAATGTAAATGAGAACTCGAGTCATGGGGCCGTCAATCTGTTGCTCATTTCTGCCAACAGCAACTCCCAGAATATGGAAACAAACTGATACAAAGTTTTCCTAACAGTGAAAATATTTGCCGTGCCACTTTTCAGGCAATCAGAGCTGTCTTACGAACTGCATATACATATTTCTGTCTGTAGTGCCACAGCTCTGAGGGCCTATGGACTTCACCCTTTTCACTGTGAATGGTCATGTCCAAAACCTGGAGTGACCAATATTTCCATCTTCTAAGTTCTGCACTTTTGTCCTTCTCTCCTTTAGAAACACCCAAATCTTCTTGTAAACAGAATCCTGGTAGGCTTTTGTGATGCCTAACCAAAACCCTGTGTCGGAGGACACCTAGTGGGGAAGCTCTGGGATGGAGGGAGGGCTGCTCCAAGGTGATGACAGTCTGTGAGCTCTGGATGTGCATGTGTAAATAGTAAATAGAAATGCCTTTTCTTCCTGGGGTAGGATCTGTCTGCAGAGTCTTGAGGAAAGACTCAGACTGCCCAGACCTATCCTCTGAAGAAACCTGAGTGACAGCAGTAACACATGAGGGCTGCAGAACACTGCTGTTCCAAAACCAGCAAGGTGTTTTTATTCTTTAACTGCTTCAGTCAGTTTCATAATTTGATTGTTTTACAGTTACCAGAAGTTATCTTCAGATAACACACAATATTCAGGGTTTTATCTCTGACTGCAGCTGAGGGCTGAAGGTCCCAGCACCATGGGGGAGGTGATGTTCCTGTTGAGGCTGACAGTTTGCAAAAGGGGCTCTGGAAGAGACAAAAAAAGGTGGGAGGGGCGGGGAGATGAAAGGTCATGTAAACTTTGCCATAACAAGAGTTGGTTTGTGTTCTCCTTTGGAGCTGAGTGGGGTGATAAGAGGAGACAGGCAGAAAATGGAGCATTCAGAGAATGATACAGCTTTATCTGAGGTTTCTGTGTTGTACTAGTGCATTTCTATCTCTGAATACCCTTTCTTTGTTCAGCCATTCCTGTTCTCATCCCCTCTTCTGCTTTTTTTTTCCATTGTATGTTTTTCTCCACTGCTTCCTTTTTAGCCTTTCTGTTTCTTTTTGTCTTCTCTCCTCCCTAGAATGGGAAGGATATTGCCTCTGCTATGCTGTTTTCTTGTGTCCTTCCGCATTGCCCTTAGTTCTTGTTTTCCTCCTTGCAGGTTCTTGGAGATTCACTGTTTATTCACCTGATGTACTTAGCATGGCGAAGCCTTGCTCTTTGGTCTTTATACGTTTCTGTAGTAAATACACAGTATGAATTTTGTTGACTTTGCATCTGTATTCATCAATGAGAGTTTGCTGCTGCAATTTCTTTGCCAGCCAAAGCTGTGGTTTGCTCCAGGATGCTTGTTGTTTTTCACTTACAGATTTTTATTCAGCTTTGAATGTGATCAGTGTCTCTGAATAGTTACAATTAAAAAAAAAAAACAAAAAAAACAACGAACCAAAAAATCAAGCAACCAATTGCAACCACCCTGCCTGCAAAACAAAACAGACACATCCCCAGAAGTGAAAAGGAAAATGCAGGGGAAGGAAAGTGTCCAGCTGTTTTCTTAAGGCTTGTTTTCAATTAAAAAGCCCAAACCAAACCAACACACCTGCTCTAGCAGGCCTTATAGACTAGCAGACAGTGTATTCTCATTGTACCGTTTTTGTTGTGGCTTAAACACCTGTTTCACTGCCTTGCTTCCTACGGGTTCTGGCAGTGACTGTTCTTGCAACTTTGGTTGCTCTTTGTGACTTGCAGAGGAAGACTTGAGCTGGCACTGCCAACAGTTACAGATGCTGGGGAAAAAGATATTAATTCTAAATTTTAATATAACTTGTTTTAGATTTTCTTTCTGTACTCTGATTTTTGATAATAAATTTGTCATCATTGTCTCTGTTGTAGTTTTGCCAATTTGAGAATTCACCCTCATGGACTGGTGTTGGTGGATCTGCAGAGCTACAATGATGACATGAAAGGAAGAGAAGAAGTTGATCAGGTATGAGTGTTGCTTATTTTACTAGGATTACCTAACTGTATGGGGAGCTCATATTTTGTCAGGTTTATCAAAGTCTGTCGTGGTAAAAAATGAAAAATATTAAAGTCAGTTCAAACCTGGATGCTTGCAGATGAGGAACAGTAACACCTGTTGGAAGTTGTGCACACGTGTGAGTGCATGAATGCACACAGTCCTCTGCAAGTACTGGGCCTCGTGTTCCTTGGAACAGTTGTGAAGATACAGCAGCCTTGGTTAGGGCTTGGGTCTCTTCAGCTACCCAAGGACTAGAGGAGGACAAGTGAGAGAGGACATGAGATGCTCTGTCTGCAGCCTGGTGTATTAGTGTGAGACTTCTTTTTATTCTCTGTTTTGAGAGATGGGAAGCCTCCGTACTTAGTCTTTTGCCCCATGGAGAAAAACAGCTTCATCTCTGGCATGAAGGCTCTAGACATTGAGTATTGCAGGGGTAAGAAGCCACTACTGTAGCAGGAATGGAACTTTGAAGGGTTCTCATGTTCCCTCTGTGGATGTGTTGTCCTGGAGAACAGCTAAATGCAGTGATGACAGCTGCTGAAATGTGCATATGCTTGCTAGTAACAAGGTTGAGGCCAGCTAGTTACTCATGGGCTTCTAATGTTACATTTCAAAGCCTTTTCGTAGCAGCTGCTGTTTTATTGACTTCCAGGTAGGCTAATTTAACAAATATTTTGCATAAAGTGCTGATCTACAAATTCTACCTCTTGTTTGCTATTTTTTGCAGCTTCTAAACAAAGTAGAAGAAAGAATGAAAGAGTTGATTCATGATAACATAAAAAGGGTGAAACGGTAAGTTGTACCTCTGCTTCTGCATGTGGCTTGTCTGCATAGTTACTAAAGATAATAAGCAAATTAGGCTTTCCTGTAATAAAGCTTTCCTGTAAATCCTGTAATGAATAGCCTGGAATATGAAGGTATGGATGGGATTTTTTTTTTAGTTACTTGGGAGGATTGCATGAAATAGTGAGAGAAAATGCAGTGTGGAAGCAGGAGCAGACTGCTCTGAAAGAGCTGGGCAGCCAAGGGTGGCAGGGCATAAACTGTACCCTATGGGCCACATCCCATAGCTCATGGAGAAGGTGAGCTGGTGATGGTGACCAGGATCAGACCCAGCCCTGTGGCTGCCAGGCTGGGCTGTGGTACTGAGGCAACTCTGAGCACAAGCTGGGTGTCAAGGATTGGCAAAAAACTTGGGCAGGTGGGGATAGAGCTACAGTGCAGCTCTGGCACAAGGGACCAGGGATGAGGATTAGAGCTAAAATGGAGCTCAAGCCCACAGAGGAGACTTTGCCCTGACAAGGTTTCTGCAGTTCTTTCTCACATCTCTGCCTCTGCCGTGCATCATGGTGCTCGCTGTGGGTATGTGTGGTTTAGGGACCTGCCAAGAAGGCAGCTATGTTTTGTAGCAAATTTTTGTAATTAAACTTAAGGATGGAGGCTTTGCAAGCCCTTTGTCAGTTTGTATTATTTAAATTCAAGGCTATGTGTTAAAATTTAAGAACTCTTATTGCAGCTCATGGCCTAGTGCTGAAATAACTTCCATACTGGATGTGGCTTGTTATTGTCTTCGTGGTGGCTGTCTGGCAGCGAGTGATACCTTGAAGCCAGAGAGCACTTACTCTAGGCATGCGCATGGTAGAGAGTGCAGCATGTGCTTGAAGGAACGTAAAAGTGAAAATGGGTGAAGAAAAGTAAAAAGCAAGCGAGAAATCAACAAGGCTGAGTAAAGCCAAGGAGCGAACGACAAAATAGGAAAACAGTTAGGCAGTACTATGACAGAAAGTAGATCGGAAGGTTATGAGAGCACAAATGAAGTGGTAGTAATTTGAAAAGTGGTATTATACTTGCATGTTGTTATTTCTGTTTTACAGTTGTAAAACAGTAATTTTCTTGCTACTTCAACCTGGTAAAGCCTCTCAAAAGGTGCACAGTGTGCAAACATAGATGATCTTGCCATGTGTGCTTATGAAGGAGAAGCTTTCTGAGGCTGTTTTGATGCTGTAGTGATAAAGGGAGTTTGTGCAATCCCTGTCATAGGAATTTCTTAAAAATGGGTCAGAACAATGTCTAGATCTTCTGCTTACCTTAGGATAGGGAGGTGAACCTCCTAGAGTGAGCCTCCTAGTGCATCAGGCATGGATCTTGTCACACGCTCCTCAATGTGGTGGTTTTTTTTTTTTTTTTGCTTGTTTTTGGTTTTGGGGTTTTGGATTCTTTTTAATTAGTTTTGCGTTTTGCGTTGTTTTGTTTTGGTGCACACATGCAGCTGCACTAGGATGAACTAGCTGGAGAAGTTTCTCATGCCTTTGTTGTAAGGCAGGGCTGCTCTTGCTCCCACCGTGTGCTGCCATCTGGCGGCTCGCTGCGGGTGGGAAGTGTTTCTGGAACTTGATTGGGAATCACTAGGGAATTTAGAAGAAGCTTGTTGAATCTGGTCTTCTGCTACAGTCTCCTGTAAAAAACCCCCTTTAATTCTTTGAAGTGTGTGTGGGAGGTCTGATGAGCTCTGTGACTGCACATTTTGCCTAAATGCAATCTCTGTGCTTGTTTGCTGTCATTTCAAAGATAGTTTCTCTTTACAGGTGAAATGCTGATTTGAACCAAGGTACATCTCTATGGAATTTAAAAAAATCCTAAAACCCACAAACAACATACCCAAAACAATCTTAGCAGACACTTTAACCACTTTTAAAAAGTAATGCAGACTATTGAGTGGTATCAAGGATTGTGGTTATGTGCTGCCGGCTGACCCAGCTCAGTTTGAAACACTGCAATGGTTCTTTTTTTGTTTGTCTATGTATTAAAATGTGTCTCAGTGTAGCTTCAGAATGAGATCCACTTAATCTCAGAGAAATGTCATCCTTAACTAAACCGAAGATGGGAAGAGGTTTTGTCATGTTTTTTTGCCTGCTGTTTTTGTATTTTATGAACTTCCAGTCATGACCTGGTTCTTCTACAGAGGCTCATTCATTATGTAAATTCCATCTCTTAGAACAGAGAGAAATTCGCAAGGACATTGTAGAAGTTGTACATATAGAAGAACCATGTATACTACCTTTTCCTTAGCAAGCTCTATATATTTAACATTCTTAAATTTTCTTATATCTGTTAAGTGTTAAATGTGGCAAGTTTTCTTGGAAGCCTCTCACAAATATTATTCATTATGGTGAATCCACAGTATGTTTAAAGTGGGTTTTTTAAAATAAGCATTCCAGATTTTTGTAAACTTCCTTCATATTTTTTTTTCAGGTTGCCAGCCATTTTGAGAGGAGGTGTTATTGACAGATACTGGCCCACAGCTGATGGGCGCCTGGTGGAGTATGACATAGATGAAGTTGTTTATGATGAAGATTCACCTTTTCAGAATATTAAAATTCTGCATTCAAAACAATTTGGGAATATTCTTATTCTCAGTGGGGATGTTAGTAAGTATCATCTCATTTAAGGATCTCTGGCATGAAAATGTCAAAAGTGTTGTTTTCTATTCTGCTATGGCAGTTTTAATAGATGTCTAAGGGTAATGGTTCAGATGCTGGAAGCTGTTTGTGCATGTACAGATATATCTGTTCCTGCATATTAAGGATGTTAATCAGGCTGACCAGTGTGAAATCTAGAGTTAAAAAAAAAATATTTTTCTAGAGTTAGTATCTCTGCTGCAGAAAGTGGCCTAGGAAAATAGAAGATGGTGTTCTACAGCAGAGCTTGCCCTATGTCATTCTTTTATATGAGGTTTTGTGCTTGTTGCCAGTCCAACTTTCTGAGAGCTTCTCTTTGACAGTAAAACAAGCTACAGTCTTCAGAACACACTGGAGTTCTGGAGAAATATGAAGTGATACCTGGTGTGTGTGTGTATAATCCTGCTGCTCCCTGGATTCTCTAAGGGAATTTCCTGCTTAGGGGTGAGGTATAGGACAGCTGTGTCTCAAACCATTTAGCTGCCCTATTGGTGAACATCTTTTGACTTTTCTTCAAAATAATAGAACTTGAACTATAAGTTAATCAAAGTAGTGGCCCAACCTTTATGTGGGGGTTTTTATATGTGGTACTTTGTGCCTGCTGACCTTTGTATTTTTGAAAGTGGACTTAGGAGAAGGTGGACTGCTGTTCATTAAAGCTGGAGACTGCTCTTTGCTGGAAAATCTAGGCAATGAAAGGACTATGCTTTGTAAAATCTTAGTTCTTATGTTGAAAAGGACTGACTCTGGTAAATGAAGGACGTTGCTGTCCAGGGATAGAATACCTAGCTTCACTCTAATGGCAGAGTAATTAAGAAATTGGAGTAGAGCTTTTTGAAAACATTGGAAGTACCTCTAACAATTCAATTAGCTTTCTGCAACTGTCGAGAGGGCTTCTGTGCAGATGGCAGCTGAAAAGCACTGTTATTGAATTAATTAGTAAGGTATTTTCTAATCCAGATAGAATTGTATTAGAAATCATCAAATTGGATACTCAGTTATTCTAGCCAGAAATTTTTATCAGAGTTTAATATGGAGATGAGGTTTTGCTTGAACATTACAACATTGTGCCTTGTAGGAAGGGAAGTATGCCATTACTTATTTCCATTCCATGGGATTTTGAAATAATGCTTTGTCTCATTTTGTTGTTGTGCACTCATAAATGAGATGGTGATTGCCAGGCAGAGTGACAGGATGTGCTGCACAGAGCTTGGCCCTGGTAGTGTGGATCTTGGCCCCTGTTGTTGCAGCTTGAGAGTGTTACTGCCTGCTTTGAAGCTAATGCTGGCAGCAGGCAAGCTGCAGGGCCCTTCAGCACCTGGGCGATAATGGCTATGTTTGTTTCTGTACAGGGATCCACTGGTGTACATTAGGTTGCTCTTTAGCTGGGGTCCACAATGTATTTTCAAGAATTTCCAGACCTATCTCTTGCAGGATGAGTCTGAGATAAAAACCCACTGAAGTGTGAAGTGTGAGCATCAAGTTACAAAAACTCTGCTACCTTTTCTCTTGGCACACAGTACTTCTCAATGCTGAGGTGGCCATTGTTGGGCTCGTGTGGAGAACTGGAGAAATCCTGTGTGGGATTCTGAGAAGAATCTCATTACTTGGACTGTCTCTGAGAGCCAGGTTGTTTCTGTAGATGTTTTTGCTTTGGTCTGTATTGTGTCACCTCTGGATTAATACCAGTTAATGAGAGCAACTGAAGAGTTAATATTGCTTCCCAATTCTTTCTTCCTTCCATTCAGATCTGGCAGAAAGTGACCTGGCATATACTCAAGCCATAATGGGCAGTGGAAAGGAAGATTACACTGGGAAAGAAGTGCTAATCCTAGGAGGTGGTGATGGTGGTATACTATATGAGATAGTCAAACTGAAGCCAAAGATGGTTACTATGGTAGAGATATCCTTTGACAAATGGCCCATCAATCATTTTAACCTGAGCTTTCTGCTGATACCTTAGCACTGAGCATAGTAACCTGTCAGGTTACCTGATTTGCATGAGGAGATAGGGTCTAAAGTGAAATCTTTTTGTCAGCTTAGAGAGACCCAGTGACTACATATTTGTGCATCATTGTGCAACACCTGCTTTCAGGTTCCCAATCCATACCATAACTCTCAGTAGCAGTTTACATAAGGCTGGAAAGGAGTGCCTTTGTCATCAGACTCATGCTTTCTCTAATAACGGAAGACAGGTCTGTCAAGTTTGGGCTCACTTCTGCCTTCTTGAGTTTGTCTGTTTTCCTAAAGAAAGCTATAAAAAAAATAGTGCCTAGAAGCAAAAGAATTTAATCAATAGAAGTGTCAGGATTTGATGAACTGTATTGATGAATTGACCAATCCTGTTCTAAAAATACCAATACAAATCAAGTTTTCAACATTCTGTAGTTGGTATAGTTTGTAACGTAAACCACTATTATCCATATGAGATGTTGATCTTCCTAGGTTTTGAGATCTATTTGCTGAGACTAAAAATAACTGTTTTAAAAATGTGGGTTAAAATCTTACCCTAGTTTAACTTTATGGAGTTTTCAGTAGTCTTACAATTCACATTTCAGACTTTCACAGTAATGATAACCTAAGGTATCAAAAATATTGTTAAAACCAAAAATAAGCACTTTGTGATCATCTTACTGAATCTGGAGGCCAGTGCATAAGGTTGAGTATTGCAGTATATATACCAATAGACACATATAATTGTCTCTTTGTGAATGCCTCTTTGAGAACTTCTTTCTGAAGAAACAGAAACTCTTACCTGTATTTCTGGAATCTGTTATGCCTTGACAAGCTTCAAACATTGACCAAATGGTGATTGACGGGTGTAAAAAACACATGCGTAAAACGTGCGGAGATGTCTTAGACAATCTGAAAGGAGACTGCTACCAGGTAATACTTTGTTTTCTTTCATTACAAGTCGTATTTCAAATAGATGTAGACCTAGTCTGGAAGGGCTGCTGTGGCAAAGTTTTGGGGACAAGTCTTCTGACTCAAGCTTGGGAAGCTTTTTTTTTTCCTTTTGTATGACACTTGCCTATTTTAATAACTGGAGTTCATGTTGGAAGTATTTTAACTCTCAGTCTTTAGACTTCTAAAATTAATTGCATATGTAGCTTTTAAGGAATGTGAAATAGGAAAATGTTTGCTATAACTTAGAAATAAAGAAGAGATAGCAGTAAGAATATTGTGTTTAACATATTCCTTGAAACTATTAAAAAGAGAGAAATGTGTTTCGTAGTTGTTCTGTACTGTTGAAAATAGCTGAATTTGTAATACACATTTAACAATTATTTTTAATTTGCAGGCAAAATCCCTTAGTATTATACTGCTATTATAGTAAAATAAAAACCCCAACAAATGTCATGCATCCCCGCAGTTGAGTTCTTTGTGCTGCATCTGATAGCACTTACAAATGAGCCCAGGTGTAATCTGACATGTTTCTGTTTTCATTACTGGCCCTTAGATGTTGTCACAGCTATTAGCTTACAGGAGCTAGCTAATAAAAACACACAAAAAAATAACAGAAGTCACATGCTAATCCATGGAAATCAGTGGCCCTTCATACAAATACCTTATTTAACTCACGTGTTGGAACTGCTAACTGTTGTCAGCATTTGGTAGAAGGAACTGTGGTCACAGATCTAGGAACTTCAGTCCTGGAATGCCTGTGTTTTCATTGTCATAATTCCTACAAAGCTCCTCCTTTCTATATGATGTAAAAAGTTGAAAGTGAAGCCTGGAATTAAACATGTATTTAATTTTGTCATTTTTTTCCTCCTAATTTCTGTTAATCCACATTTGTTCTTTTTACCTGGTCATTTTTAGGGTATTTTTAGGACTAGCAACAATATTTCTTTCTTTCAGGTTTTAATTGAAGACTGTATTCCTGTACTGAAGAGGTATGCCAAAGAAGGAAGAATGTTTGATTATGTAATTAATGATCTGACAGCTGTTCCAATCTCCACATCTCCAGAAGAAGGTAAGTCTTCTAATTTATTTACTTAAACTTCTGAGAATTTTTACATTTCTGTCCTTCTGCTACATAATAGTCTGCAGCATAAATGCTTGTATTTTTTCAATTTACAAAGCAAATCTGAGAAAAAAGACAACTATTTTTAAAATTTCTTTGAATATTAGAAAAGACTAGCAAGTGCCTAGCACTCTTTTTAATCTCTTATTCCAGAATAATATAAACTCATGTAGCTCTTGAGAAGTATTTGGAGTTCATACTCCAGTAAATTTTCCTCACTGCCTAATTTATTGGAAATTTGAGGAAAATTCCTGTGAAGAAAAACAATACTCCTGCCATCATTGCCATTGTGTATGGTTTGCATTTTTTTTTAATCCAGGCTTTAATTTTTTTTTTAAATTTGCAAGTCTTGATTATATAATAAGTAAATAAGCCAATAATGTGCTGTTCTGTTTTTCAATCATTGCCCATATGCAGATTCCACATGGGAATTTCTACGGTTGATTCTTGACCTCTCAATGAAAGTCCTGAAACAAGATGGAAAATACTTCACACAGGTATGATATTTGGATGTAATAAAGTACTGCTTTGTATCTATTGCAATTTGCATATTTTCAGTTAAAAAAAAAAAAACAACAAAACTAACTAAAAATAGACTTCAAGCTGGTTTTCTCCCTTTAATCACTTACCAGGCAGTTTGCATGAAAGTTAGGATTTGCTAACTGACTTGTCTTTTTTTCATTATTTCAGCTGAATATATAGTGCTTTTGTCTGGAGTTCAAAAGCATAATTTTAAGACTCAGCAAGGCACACTGCAGAATATTGCAGCTAAACAATTCTTGGAAAAGCAGAACAGATGTACTTCATAAAGAGATACATGGTTTTTAAGCTAATGTCTCTAATTGTAGAGTGTAAACCACAGAAATTTGTCATTCATTAAAGTGTAAGAGTTTCACATAGGTGCTGTGGGATGAGAAAATTGGTATAGTCACCTCATAGGTAATAGAATTGTAGCATAGCTTTCAACAGATAATACTTCAGGTAATCCTGAATTTGAAATGCCACAAAGTTGTGTGCTATTGTACAAGAATGTGACAGGAGCCAGCAGATGGTTCAGTGAAGTCTAACTCTCTGAAGCTGTATTTCTTTTGTCATGCTCATAAACTAGTCTCCTGATGTGTGGAGAATCTAAGTACTGTATTTTAGAATAATATCCTTAAGCTCTGAAATATATATAAATTGGTGTACTGTAAAATTGTGCAGGTTTATAAAGAAAAGCAAAACTTGTGGGATGAGGTTTCTGGCAATTCTAATATGCTGCTCTATTTTAAAATGCTGTGGTTGTATGGGCAAGAGAAATTATCTTGTGGTTGAAATGTAAGATATGATTAATATGGTTTTACCACACTTCAAATTTTAATGGCATTTCTGTCCTGTTAATTGTGGAAATATTTGTGGCAGACTTTGCTATCAAAGGGACACTAAATGTTTTGGAAACAGAGCAAGTTGTTGTGTTGCAGTTGCTGTCCTTGTAGCATACACGGTGATACTAGCTCACCTTGTTGGAATGAAGATAGATGTATATCTGGGGACTGGTTTTGTTGGACTTTGCAGAAGGACTCTTAAAAAGAAGCTTGTGCTGAAAGCTGAAATGATGGCTATGCTGCAGCCAGAGGGCAGGCAGGTTGTTCTGTGTCAGCTGGAACCAGCTGAGGTGGAGACTGGTGCAGCCCCTGCTGCTTGTTTTGTCCTCATGGGAGGAGGTAAGTCAGCTCTCCAGCATGTGATAGCCCAGAAAGAAGGAAAGGACAGCAATCCTGAACCAGCCCTGGTGGGTTTTAGCTGTTGTGAAACTATGCAGGGTTAAATTTTCTGGTCCCAAAGCAACAAGGTGTACATGGCAGGATGGGAAAGAAACAATATTAAAGATGATATGGCTTAAAATTGAACTTGGGGCTACTGGGTAGCCAGTGCAAGGGCTGGAGTATAGAAGCAGTGTTCTCTAGCAATTTAGTCTACCTGAAGATGTTGAAAAAAGGACAATTAATACTGGGGCAGACAGCTATCAGAGCTTTTGATACATCTATTGATAGACTGCTCAGCTCATTTGATGGTCCTTGTAGCCGCTTCCCAGTTGGGCCTGAAAAAACAAAATAGTCCTCTCTAAAAATGGAATAACCCTCTCTATTGGGTTAATATGGCCAGGTTTTGATAGTGGGAGGGTGTGAGAAGGGCTCCCATGTCCAACAAAGGCAATGCCAGCTGGCTCCAGGAAGGACCTGCTCCTGACCAAGGCTGAGCCCATGACTGACTGTGGTAGTGCCTCTGGGATAAGATTTTTGAAGGGCCAAAAGATGCTGCACAGCAGCCAAAGAGAGAAGTGAGAACATGGGAGAGAAACGGCTCTGCTGACTTCAAGGTTGCTGAAGGAGGGGCAGGAGATTCTTCAGGTGCCAGTGCAGAGATTCCCCTGCAGCCCATGATGAAGACCAAGGTGTAGCAGGCTGTGCTCCTGCAGCCCGTGAAGCTCCACAGGGGAGCAGAGATCCACCTGCAGTCCCTGGAGGGCCCCGTGGTGGAGCTTGTGGATACCTGAAGGAGACTGTGACCCTCTGGGAAACCCACACTAGAGCAGGCTTCCTGGCAGAATCTGTGATGCTGCAGGGGACCCATGCTGGAGCAATTAATGAAAAACTTCAGCCCATGGAAGGACTCATGTTGGAGAAGTTCATGGATGACTGTCTCCCGCAGAGGGAGACCCCACACTGGAGCAGAGCAGAGTTGAGGGGGAAGGAGCAGCAGAAATAACATGGGATGAACTGACCACAATCCCCATTCCCCATCCTCCATCAGTGTAGTGGGGAGGAAGTTGAGAATTCGTGAATAAAGTTCACCCTGGGGAGGAAAGAGAGATAGGGAAGGTATTGTTAAAATTTGGGTTTATTTCTTATTATCACACTCTGATTTGATGAGGAAATTGAGTTTATTCCATACCATGTTGAGTCTGTTCCCCTGTGACAGTAACTGGTGAGTGTTCCCTCCACAACCTTATCTCAGCCCATGAGCCTTTTGCTGTGTTTTCTCTCCTCTGTCCAGCTGAGCAGGAGAATGACAGAGTGTTTTTGTGGGCACCTGGCACCCAGACAGGGTCAACCTCCACACTCTCAGACAACTCAACAGTCTGACCATAGGATGAACACATTATTGGGGTGCTTTAAATAAAATTAGCTGCCTATAACTTTGTTTAAATTACTTAAACTTAAATTCAATTGAACTAACTGGAGCTTGCTACTTGGAGGATTGGTTAGACTATAGACAGAAGGTCAAACATGACTACTACCAACTTTGGCAGCTTAGTCACATATTGGGAACTCAGAAATGATTTTGAGTGTTCTATTGTGTTTGCTATTAAATGCCAATGGTTTTATCTCTGTGGAATTGGGAATTTAAGTTACTTTTGGTCCAGCAATCTGCTTTCAGGATGCTTATGTTATATAGCAGGCCTTGCTGAAGAAATCATGTGCCTTTTAAGGCAGTAGTGTTTTTAAAATGCAGGACTCTGTGTGCTCCCCAGCCCCTTCTTTGCATTTTAGTTCTTTAAAACAAAAAATATTAAATGTCATCAAGAAAAGAGACTGAGGGAATGTCCTTTTGTTAGAGTGTCATCTTTGCTATGGTGAGGAATTGTCTCATAGGAAAAATGCAGCAAAAGGATTGTTGTCCTGGTGACCACTAGCCAGCAATTACAGTTGTCTCTTCTGCCTTGGCATTATGTTGTACTGACATTGGAAATTTCTGTCCTTTGTAGTTTGTAGTCTGTCTCCTTGCACCCTGAACAGAATCAAGTGCATCTAGTTAGGATGTCATTTATTTCAATGCTGAAGAAATGCTTTACGTAAAAGTGGAATTGTTCACAGAATGCCATCCTTTCCCGTAGTGTATTCCTGTCTGTCTAAATGCCACAGCTAGAAAAAATAAAGGGAAATGCTCATCACCTCTTCATTGAGCTCTGCACAAGTTTTAGAAAATGTTCTGATCTGCACGTGAATTTTCAGCAGGCAGGGTCTAGTGCTGTCTAACTCCAGATGGATATAATTTATCTGAGATTATAAAAAGAATTGTTTCTGGCATGCTGCTCTTAACACACCTGGTGGTTCCCTCGGCATTCCTTCCGTGGTGATGCTCGAAGCAGTCTCCAAATGCTGCTGCAGAATGTCCCGTCACCACTAGGTGGAGGCAGGTAACCGGTATTGCCTGGCAGTTTATTAACATTAGAAGAGATTCTGCCTGTGGAAGGTTTTTCAGACTATTTGTTTGTATTCCTAGGGGATATAAGAACTTATGTGGCCAATTTTAAGATGCAGGAGGGACTTCTTCCTTTTTTTCAGCTCTGAAAAGATATAAAAGGGCAGTTAATGGATGTCATTCTCTGCTGCTTTAAGTTTGTGTCTAAGTGTGTTTGGGGAAAAATGCCTCTATTTTCTCTGTGCAAATAGTAATCACAGCTTAGAACAAAAACTTGTATGAGTAGCAGCCGTGCTTTACATGCCCTTGCTTTTCTAGCTGCATCATCCATATTGAGTGTTGCACCCTACACAGGATCTGCACAGGTGAGCTTTAGGGCTCTTGGTCTGCAGAATTTGCAAACCTGTCTGTGGGTTTAATACTTGAAGCTTGTTTGTGAAAACTTACTGTTAAACATAATCCCACCACTCTGAGATTCCATGGTTATATGGCATGCTCTTATTTCCATTCTTCTTCTTCTGAAGCTGGTGCTTTGAAGTGTTTTATGATATGATATGATATGATATGATATGATATGATATGAGGCCATGTCTGTGAGGTGTTTGGTGTTATGCTCTCCAAGGAGGGACAGGCTCCCAGCCATCATAGTGGAGAGAAATGGGAGTTGATAAGGATGTAAGACCTTGGTGTATCCTGAGGTCCACTTTCATCTCTGATATACCTTCCCAGCAATTTGTTTCTAAACATGTTAAGTGTCTTTACAGTGTTGGGCTTTCTAAAAGTATGATTTTTATATGGCCCAAGTGATTCCTTTCAAGTGAGTATATATACTTGTAGATATCAACCTGATATGTGGCTATTGTTTACCTGAACCATCAGTCTTGTGCATTCACAGTGTCACATGAGGATTGTCCCAAGAGCTGTGAAACCATGTTCTGTCAGGTGCTGAGACTTATTGTAAGGTTGTCTTTGAGTGTCAGTGGATTATGTGTAGCTAAGAAAATGCCTTTTTCTGTACTAGTTTTTGTTCTGTTGATCTAATCTTTTGAGGTTGAGAAGACTATAATTTTCAGCCTGTTTATATGGTAGAACCTTTAAAAATACCTCTGAACAGGAATTTGTGACTTCCTGGTTGGGGTCACTCAGCCCAGGCAGGATAGAAACTCAGACCATTCTGAGGCTCCAGTAAACAGCACTGACCCACTGGAGGGATCTTGTGTCTCCCACACAAACATGTGGCCCTTCACTAAGCTGTCTCTTCCTGGCCACTCTCTTATACTGCCCTCGAAATGTCCAGACAGTCATCATGTTG